ATCTGGGCCTTTAGAGTCAAGTCCCTGGGTGGTACAAATGGGAGGGGAATGGCTTGTGAATGAGATGAATCTACACGCTGCCCACAGCGGTTGCTGGACAGGATGAGTAGATAAATCTACATTTCTCTCTCTCATGATACCCCCATACAAGGAAGCAGATACAACAAATGAATATAGAGATTCCTTTGATAAAGCATTGAATTTGTATACATGGTTAACATGCTCAGCTGCTAACCGAAAGGTTGCAAGTTCAAGTCCATCCAGAGGTGCCTCAGAAGAAAGGCTTGGTGATCTACCTCCTAATATCAGCCACTGAACTCTGTGGAGCACAGTTCTGCTCCGACACACGTAGGGTTGCCAAGAGTCGGGAGTCGACTTGTCAGCAGCTGGTTCAACCGTGAAAGTGGCAGGAAAGGCTGGAAGCACTCTGAGTGGGGCGGCTCAGTGACGCTCCACCGATGCGGTGACAAAAACCTTACACCCAGGGAGGAGCACACGAGTCCTAAAGAAAAAGGAAGGTGCAGGGGGAGGAGGGGTTTGAAATGCGTTAATAGTTTAGTGGGGGAGAGTGATTTCATCAAAGCGTTCAATAATCTTATAATGCACAAAGACGAGAAATTCCAAGCAGAGGGAGTATTTTATAACAACGCCACACTTGGCCACACAGCTTAACGCAAGGATCAGGCTCCACAGTGACCAGACAACACAGCTTATGTCATGTTGCTGTCACTTTTTGGAAACCTACTGGAATACAAGTGGGATGGTGATATGATAATATATCTGTTATTTCGGTTGCAGCCCTGATGTCTCCGGGCAACGCCGTTCCTAAGACAGAGCTCACTGCAGTCTCCTCTGGGCAAGGCTGCTGTAGAGTCTCAGCAGTCTCGGGGCTCTTAGGGACAGGTTATCATTTTTATTACTGGCTGAGTCAGGAAAGCCCTAAACTAACCTGTCAAGAACACAAGACTAAGAAACACCCAAATAAGGCAATGCTTTGTAGGGAAAAGCAAACAACAGCATTGCACAAGGCAAATGTGATGACTTCAGGAGTCACGGTGGAAAAAAAAAGCCGAACACATTGCTGGTGAGTGGACTCCGACTCATAGCCACCCTATAGGACAGAATAGAACTGCCCCCTAGTGTTTCCAAAGTTGTAATCTCTACTGAAGCAGATTGCCACTTCTCCCTTAGAGCGTCTGGTGGGTTTTGGTTAGCAGCTGAGCGCTTAATCACTGTGTCACCAGTGCTCCTTTCTGGAGTCACTAGAAGCCACTTATTTAGGTATTATTCTTCCAAAGGACTTCCTCTCTACTAAATAGGAACCAAATCGATTTGCTGTAATAGTGCTCAGCTGGCTTGGAACACAGGTCTAACAGGGTAAGACAGAGTATCCGAGGCCAGCTCAGCGGAGAAGCTGAGAGATGGACGGCACTGTAAAAACTCCTGTTCTTGACATATTCACTGAAACTCCTAACCCAGAATTATCACCCTGAGAGCAGCAGTCTGGAGCAGGAACTAAAGATGGACTCAAGAGCTTCATTTCGTAAAGTATTTTTTTTATTAATTTCATCAAGACAAAGTTAATAATCCATGACATAAGTGTTTTCTTTTTTTGAGTAGGTTGTTCTAAACATGTTAGAGTCTTCTCGATAAATCTCACAGCTAGAGGCTACTAGAAATTAGTTTGCCTCCTATACTGTCATTAAGAAAGAAGTGGTAATAGCTACCAAGGAAACTTGAAGGGAATGGCTTGTAAATGAGGTGGTTGCTGGACAGGATGAGTAGATAAATCCACATTTCTCTCTCTCATGATACCCCCATGCGAGGAAGCGGATACAACAAATGAATATAGAGATTCTTTGACAAAGCACTGAATTTGTATATATAAAAGAATTTCTACAGACAGTTTAAATTGACCTGCATTCTCAACAGATTCCTTCAGTAAGTCCTTATTGAGGGTCTCCAATGAGCATGGTCTGGTATGAAGAGCTAAGCAGGGTCTAAGACATGACCTCTCATCTCCCATGCAATGCGGCTGTAATTGAGTGCCCGAGTGAGTGCTGAGGACGGGAAGTGGCACAGGAAGACTATGATAAAGGTCTGGACAGACAGGGAATGTGCTCACGCCTGCTGTGATGCTTTTAAAGAGCATGTCAGGAAGCTAGGCAGCCTGCATCATGCAAAAGAGAAAAGAAAAATGAGGCTGCGTTCAGTCTTTCCATTGGAACTTTGAACACGCCTGGGCATCTTATCAGTAACGAGGACTCTGTTAATAACACAGGTCCTGCTCGAAATGCTTTCTATGTGCTATCTTATTTAATTTTCGTTATGACTCAAAAACCAGTTGCTGTCGAGTTGACTCCAACTCATGGCAACCCCATGTGTGTCAGAGTAGACCTCAGATCCATAGGGTTTTCAATGGCTGATTTTCAGAATTAGATTGCCAGGCCTTTCTTCTAAGGTACCTATGTGTGGACTCAAACTTCCCAACCTTTCAGTTAGCAGCCAAGGGCGTTAACCATTTATACCATCCAGGAAATCCATTATGACTCTAAGAGATAGGTGATTTTCTTACCCATCTTAAAGATGAGGAAAATGAGGCACAAAAAGATTAAATAATTTATTCAAGGTTACAGGTGAGAAATAAAATTACTAGGATTTGAACCCAGGCAGTCTGGCTCCTGCATCCGTGCTCTTAACTCCAAGGTCTCTGTGATGTCACTCTTACATTTTGTCCTTTATGCAATCCCTGGGTCTCAGCAGGAGAAGAGAGTAGGGTGGCTGGCTTCCTAAATTTGATATTGCATCTCCCACATTTGATGGTGTCCAATCCATACTGCAGAGCAGTAGCTTTGCTTATCCACTTAATGCATGTGTGTCTTTTCAGTATGCCTCACCAGGATGTCCCATCACCCTGCCAGGCTATCCTTGTCTCCAGGGGACAGATTCTTTGTATCCAATGTGTCTGATGTGCAACCAACCTGCACGTTTTAGTCCATGGCAAAACAAGTCATTACACCTCTTGAGAAAGCATATGCATCCCCCTTCCCCTCACTCCTGTGCAGCCCCTGCCCCTCACACCTGTGCAGCCCCTCCCTGCATATCTGTGCAGCACAATTCTGTGCAATGGAAAGTGGACCCCCTTGGCTCTTCAAGTAGAATGAGTGTAGTTCAATTAAGCAAGAAATTACAAAGAGGATGGGGGTTGCGGGGCACGGGTAAGGATGGCATGTGTTTGGCAAGGGAGGAAGTCCTTCAATGGAGGTGACCTGAGGAGACTTTCCAGAGGTCAGCACACACTCCCTGAGCCACACCGTCTAACTCCACTCCCCAGCTGCGACAAGGAAGGGGGAAAAATAGAGAGTCCCCGGTAGAGGGACTTACTTGGCCCTCGCCTCTTCTTCCAAACTCTGGAAGGGGAAGACAGAACAGGCCAGTGGCATTCAAAAATACAAAATCTCACAGCGAGAACCTTTTACCCATGGCCCAAGTGCCCAGGGCAGCCTGGCCATGGGTCCTGTGGAGGCCTTTGGTCTCTCTCTCCACCCTGGTTGTGTATTCTCTCCACGTTAGTCATGTCTGGGCAGCAGGCAGGGGGGCAGTGCGAGTTCCTCCAGCTCAAATCAGTGTCTACTGTGTTTCCCCACCAACCAAGAACAGGATTTGTTTACCTTCTGTTTAGATGTTTCCTTTCTTCCCCCAAATATAAGATCATAGAGTGGATTCAATGTTTTTGTAAATTATACATGTCCATGGCCCACTCTAGAGATTCCAATAACCTCCCTCCTCAAAATGGGTGCCCCTCAGCTGAGTGGCAGCCAGTCCATTATCCTAATAAGGTGATACCAAAGTGTCCTGGGGTAGGTCTGATACTCAGGTGGCAGATCCATACCATCTCCATCCTGAAACCCTGCCTCTCACTCCTCACACCTGGTCAGGTAAATGCTGACTGGTAAACACATCATATGCAATGACTTCTGGGCAGTCTGCACATATATAGCTGGGAGAAATTCATCTCTGCTATGTGGCTCCCACAGAGCATCAAATGAAAGTATTCTGTGCACGACAGTGCTACCGGAGAAGTGAGCTCAAGGCTGTCAAACAGTCTCCCGAGCGGTGAAAATGGTTAACACAATGCTGGAAGTTCAAGTCCACTCAGAAGTGCCTTGGAAGAAAGCCCTGGAGATCTACTTACAAAAAATCAGCTACTGAAAACCCTATGGAGTACAGTTCTACTGTGACACAAATGAGGTCGACATAAGTCGGAATCAATTCTACGGCAACTGGTAAATAGTCTCCACACTGCTTTACAGTTGCTCCCAAATGTCTGGAGAGAAAGCCACATCTCACAACAGGGACAGAGTTTCCCACTGGATTCCAAGGCCTAATGACACATATGTGAGGGGGTGGTGGAAGGACTGGACCGTAAACAGCTTCATACCTCTCATCTTGCAAGGGATGGACCTGATGGGCATTGCGCTGGCCTGCTCTTATGACCCCCCTGGCTTAGCAGGGAGTCCAGCAGTGTCCCAGGTGATCTAAGACTTACCACTCAGCAGATGTGCTAGGATGTCCCAAGTTGTTTCACAAGAGCCATTTCTAATGACTTCCTACAGAGAAGAGCTCCAAACAGTTTCAAAATGGTGACTTTGCAAAGGAAGGCTCCACCCCAGCCCTGCCAAATAAACCTGTTCTTCACCAAGCAGTTATCACAGAAGCAAAAGAAACAGGAATCTTTTTAGCCCCTAACCACATAACTTGTAAATACAAGAGGCACCGAGCGAGCTAATATGCCCTGCCTGCTAATGACAAGCATAAGTGCCTGCTAATGCTACTCAGACACACTGCCCAGCCACCTGCTTTCAAGTTCAGCAAATGGAAGAATTCTAGTGTTAAACTCGGTGGGCAGCAGCACTCGCAGGAGCCAGCAGTGGGCCCTTCACTCGTGGCAGCCCATGGGTGGGTGACAGCTATGGGGAGGGACCGGTCCACACACTAACCTGCAGCATCTGTAGGTAACCTTCCTGGGGGTCGCAGAGCAGAGAGGAGATGCGGTGGTTGTTCCGCATACATTTCTTGTTGTCCTTGGCAGACGGGAAGACTTGCCGGACCACGGTCATCCTGCCGAGGGCACTGTGCACCAGATCCAGGATCTCTGCGTCACTTATTTCCTGGGGAGATAACCAGACCTATGCTTACCATCAACTCATGAACTACCTCTGCGAAAGGCTATGAAGAGGCTTAGAGGTCAAGAGCCCAAAATAAGCAATGCCACATATTATCTCATAATGAATTAGCTGATTATTTAAAAATAATGCTTAGCTAACCTTAAGATGAAAACAGGTCAGAAAAAAAGTGAGACTAACCCACCAATGTATTTGTTCCATGGGGCCAAGCCTCGTAGAACCAGTGGTGTCAAATGTCATAGTAGGCATTAGCTGGAAGCAAAGGCTAAGGATTCTGTTGTGAGTCAGAAATCTGGGTTTTCTCCTGCATAGTCAGACAAAATGCAGTGAGTTTCCCCTAATTCTTTAATAACTGATTCATTTATTTAAAAATATTCATATACAGGAGGCAGGGCCAAGATGCTGGAGTAGTCAGATGCTTCCGGTGGACCCTCTTACAACAAAGACCTGAAAAAACAAGTGATTCGATTATATATGGCAATCTGAGAGCCTTGAACATCAAATGCAGAGTTGAGAAACCGGGCTGAGTGGCAGGGGGAGGGAGAGATGGTCCGGAAGCAGCGAGGAGTTGCCAGATCTAACCAGGCGAGAGCCTGAGCCCTTCAGGCCTGAGCAGCTTGTGGGTGAGCGGTGAGGCAGGCAAGCAGTCATGCTGCGGAGGCGCATTTTCCACTCCGGGAGAGACCCAGCGCTAGACGGTCTACATGGCCACCCAGTACCACTGAGAAGCAGCCCTAGCGGTGACAGGTAAGTACTTGCGTACGGTCTTCCGCACGGATCAAAAACAACCCCTTACAGAAAAACCTCTCTCCCATTTACCTCCCCACTCCCTGCTCTGCACTGGGTCCCTGACCAGATTCAGCAATTGCCGAGTCCCCTGGGCCAGAAGTAGGATCCATCATGTGCCCGGAGCCATTCTCTCTGCCTTGCAGAGTGAACAAATTAACAAACAGGGAAAAATAAACTGCCAGCTCCCCTAAGCCAGGAACCCAGGGCAGGCACAGTTCCTTTGCCTAGGCACAGACATAAGGGATCCAAGGACTTTGAGAGCCTTTGCCCCTGCGTAGACTTGTGTGGGCCCATCTCAACAGCGTAGGTCCTTATCACCGCAGTACAACAGGGCACGTACTAGAACTCTAACGTCAACTGTTTCAGCGGTGAAGTGGCAGGTTCTTGACGTGGCAGGTATTTGACATCTGACACTGCTCTGCCCATTAAACAGGGTCCTCACCTACCCACATCAGGGGCCTGACGACTGGTAGCTCCACCCACGCCACCTAGCCACCTGCGATAAGGGCCCATGAATAAGAGGTGCCCCCAGTCCTTACAACAAACAGCAATAGGCACTCATAGTCTGGCTGCAAAACCAACCCAACTACGTGCTCTAGGGAACAGGGACACGCTTTCCTCCTGGACACTCAGGAGTGGACATCAGCCCCCTGCCTTGCTCAGTGTGTCCCCCTGCTGCAGCCAGATGCCTGTGCCTACACCAATCACCCATACCTGTCTAGGACTGTAAGTGAGAGCCTACACCACACACTTGGTGGCTATCTACCTGGGCACCTGAGCTGAATCCATACAGGAAGAGCAGGCAGACTCCTGAGCTCACATACCTAGTAACAGATCTAACCACCTGGTGACAGGACACTAGAGCTTCAAAGGTGCCAAGAATCAAACTAGCTCATATGAGCAGCCTATTTGGGCATATCAAAACAAAACAAGAAGCTAGGACACAATAAACAAAAATAAAATAAATAAATATAATAACTTAGTGATGGCTCAGAGACAACAGTCAACATCAATTAACTTAAAGAGGCAATCCGTGATGGCTTCAGCAAGCTCCCAAAATAAAGAATCTAGAAATTTCCCAGAGGAGGAAAATTTCTTGGAATCACCAGGGAGCAGAATACAAAAGACTAACATAGAGAACTCTTCAAGAAATTAGGAAGGAAATTAAGCAAAATGCAGACCACGCAATAGAGGACATTAAAAAGATTAGAGAAGAGCATAATGACAAATTTAACAAGCTGCAAGAATCCCTAGAGAGACAAGAAAGCAGAAATCCAGCAGATTAACAATAAAATTTCAGAATTAGACAACTCAATAGAAAGTCATAGGAGCAGAACTGAGGCAATGGAAGTCAGAAATAGTGACACTGCATATAAAGCACTTGACACCAACTTATTTGAGGAAAAATCAGATAAAGGATTTAAAAAAATGAAGAAACCCTAAGAATTATGTGGGACACTAACAAGAGAAATAATCTACGCGTGATTGGCGTACCAGAAAGGGGTGGGGGGTGGATAGAAAATACAGTGAGAATTGTTGAAGATTTGCTGGCAGAAAACTTCCCTGATATCGTGAAAGATGAGAAGATATCTATCCTAGATGCTCATCGAATCGCACATAAGGTAGATCCCAAAAGAAGGTCACCAGGACATATTATAATCTAACTTGCCAAAAACAAAGATAAAGAGAGAATTTTAAGAGTGGCTAGAGATAAATGAAAAGTCATCTACAAAGCACAGACAATAAGAATAAGCTCGGACTACTCAGCAGAAACCACACAGGCAAGAAGGCAATAGGATGACACATACAAACCCCCGAAGAAAAAAAACTCCCAGCCAAGAATTATATATCCAGCAAAACTGTCTCTCAAATATGATGGTGAAATTAGGGCATTTCCAGATAAACAGAAGTTTAGGGAATTTGCAAAAACCAAATCAAAAATTACAAGAAATACTAAAGGGAGTCCTCTGGTTAGAAAATCAGTAACATCAGATAACAACCCAAGATTAGAACACAGGACAGACCAACCAGATATCAACCCAGATAGGGAAGTCACAAAATCAAAGCTAAAACACTGAAAATAGGGAAACAGATGTCAATATTTAAAAGATGACAACATTAAAAACAGAGGGATTTAAAAAAATGTAGACACAGATTTTTCATATGGAGAGGAAGTCAAGGTGATATAAAGTAATAAAAGACTGGTAAAAAATTAGAAGAATAGGGGTAATATTAAGGTTACTTTCCACAAAAGAAACTAACATTGCTACAACTCAAAATAAAAAACCAAAAAAAAAAAAAAAAGACTCAGCAAACACAAAATCAACAACAATGAAAATCCATAAAGAAAAAAGATGCAGCACAGAAAATTAAGTGGAACAAAGAAACTGTGAACAACACACAAAAAAAGACATCAAAATAACAGCACTAAACTCATACCTATCAATAATTATGCTGAATGTAAATGGACTAAATGCACCAATAAAGAGAGAGAGTGGCAGACTGAATTAAAAAAAACACGATCCGTCTATATGATCCCTACAACAGACACACCTTAGACTTAAAGACACAAACAAACTAAAACTCAAAGGATGGAAAAAATATATATCAAGCAAACAACACTAAAAAAAGAGCAGGAGTGGTTAATATTAATCTCTGATAAAATAGACTTTAAAGTAAAATCCACCACAAAGGATTAGGAACAACACTATGTACTGATTAAAGGGTCTATACACCAGGATAACATAACTATAATAAATACTCACGCACCCAACAACAGTGCTCCAAAATACATAAAACAAACTCAACCAGTACTGAAAAGAGAGATAGACAACTCTACAATACTAGTAGGAAACTTCAACACACCACTTTTGGTGAAGGACAGAACATCCAGAAAGAAGCTCAGTACAGACACGGAAGAGCCAAATGCTACAATCAACCAACTTGATCTCATAGACATATACTGAACACTTCACCCAACAACAGCCAAGTATACTTTCTTTTCCAACCCACTTGGAACATTCTGCAGAATATACCACATATTAGGCCATAAAGCAGGCCTTAACAAAATCCAAAACATCAAAATATTACAAAGCATCTTTTCTAACCATAAAGCCATAAAAGTAGAAATCAAGAACACAAAAAGCAAGGAAAAAAATCAAACACACAGAAATTGAACAACACTTTGCTCAAAAACTACTGGGTTATAGAAGAAATTTAGGATGGAAAAAAGAAATTCATAGAATCAAACGGGAATGAAAACACATCCTGTGAGAACCTTTGGGACACAGCAAAAGCAGTGCTCAGAGGTCAGTTTATAGCAATAAATGCACACATCCAAAAAGAAGAAAGGGCCATAATCAAAACATTACAACTGGGACAAGTAGAAAGAGAGCAGCAAAAGAAGCCCTCAG